ACTGGATAGTGGAGACGGAGGAAACTGCTTCTTGATGTTTTGTAGCAACACGACTGTCTGTATAATGTGTCGAAAACGTATCACACCCGTAAGGAGAAAGAGAAGCGCTGGAGTGAAATCGCCTCAGTTTTGAACGTGTACGGGGATGCAGGGGAGTCACGAGCAGGGGGTCTGGGGGCTTTACTCAAGTTAAAACACTTTCATCATCCTCATGAATGTATGCTGGTTTACCTAATGGCTGCGACTCACACCAGTATTTGTTCTGTGCTGATCACAATCGAATCCTTTCATTATAACATACAGAGTGTTTACACGACGATGTTAATAATATATTAATTGCACAGTGTGAGATTCATTGGTCATAACAGAACTTTGTGTGATCACGATGAACTAATGTGACAGTTTTTAGTGGTTAAAAAGGAGCGCTCTTTGCGAGCTTTCTAGGCAATAATTAAAAATGTAAAACTTAGTTTTTTGGCCACACACACGTTGCAAAGTTTCGGGAATGACATCCGCATATTTATGCTGGATTCGCTCTCGAAGTAGTAGTGATTGACATAGTGATAACCATAGCAATAGATGGGACAAAATATGTGAAAATGTGCATTAAGACTAGAGCACCCTCACTAATGTCAGAAGCACCCTCAGTGATTATTTCTGGTTGGTACGCTTTTATTGTATAGCCCATAATACAATAAAAAACAACAAAATACAAATGCACTAGATAAAATAATTTAATAAATGCATATTTACAATTTAAGCACTTAACTAAAATAAGTATTAAATAATTAAATAAATAACTAGAGAAGGCTGACTATAACCAGTTTGCTTCCATTTAGTAAGAAAAGCCTGTACTCTAATTTTTAAAAAGCATTATGAAAAAAATGACTATTTCGATATCAGGAAAAATAATTTCTTCCTGTACACAGGATGAACGATCTACTGTGTTAATTCATTTTAATTAATTTAAAACTATTACAATGGTTTAACATTGTATTAACATTTTAAAGAATCAACTAAAATTTAAGCAACAGCAAGCAACAATTTTATTAATGGATTATTCAGTCAGTTATTCAA